ACCTCCAGCAGGGACCCTCACCCCATGAGGGTGTGGCCAGCCTGGGTGAGGGGCTGATGGCTGTTTGCAGGCTGGCCACAACACCCAGCCACCCAAGCTCCCAGTGGAGGCTGGCTGGAAGCAGGTATCTGGGATTTATTTCTCTTCTATAATTGAAACTTTGTTGCCTTTAGCGGAGGCCACAGCCGGCCAGGGCAGGCAGGAAGCTTGGCTTCCTCCATCGCCGGGGCAACGAAGCCTCCTGCTTGCTCCAACTCAGTGGCTGCCAGCTGCCATCTTGATTGGGTTAATTTGCATATAGTTGCTCTGATTGGCTGGTGGGCGTGGCTTGGGGCGGAGCAAAGGTATGGTTATTTTGCAGGTTTCTCTTTTATTTGATTAGATTATGGCAAGTAATTAGTTATTTAATTTATACTCAATTGGAGGTAGCCACCTGTGATATTACTAACAGGAATTCAAAGTTTCCTGTGACCTGTATACAAGGCAGCAGGGTACCTAGGAGATAATTGGTCCTAACCCAGTGTTTTGAGCCCAGTAGATATTTAGTACTCCCTCTGTCCCATAATAATAGTAGCAAGTGAATAATTAAACGGGAATTATTGGCGAATGCAGCTGTAAGTTATGTTGTAGTGCAAAATTGTGAAGCCTTCAATCAAAATCAATGTTTCATGACATCTGTCATTTGTTTTGACACATCTTTCAATTTTTAGGTTAATCTAATTATTACGAATTATAACTATTTTTCTAATTTCATCTGCTGATCGAAATCAATTGTTTTATTTCAGTTGAATATCAACCCATTGTAAAAGTAAGATGAAAAAAAGAGAGTTTTCAAGCAGAGATCGAGTTGCGATTGTCCAGTTCTTGATGCATCAAAAGAAAAAGGAAAAGTTGCAGAAAGGTCCAATTACGTTAGCTGCAAAACAATTTAAGTGCAACAGAATGACCATATAAAGAATTTGGAAACATGCTTCCAAAAATAATTGTCAAGGAGAATCTTATACTAATGTTGATTCTTTGAAAAAACAAAACTGTGGATGTAAATGCAAAGATTATGGAGAAAAACTTGAAAAACTTAGACATATTCCTCTTGGCAGAAGAGGCACCATATTAGCCTTTGATTATATTTCTCCCGAAATACTGGATAAATACGTTTCTATCACTTCAACAAGTTATGCTGGAAGCAATGGAGAACGATGTCTCCAATAATTTTAAGCTCATGCATATAGGGAAAGCAAAGCTTCGCAGCCAAGGGAACTACCTATAA